TATTTTTASAATACTASAAAATATTTTAGAAGATAATGAGAAAATATTTTTTWAAATAACCAGAAAATCAGAAAAAGTTAGAGATGAATAATACAGGCCCAAACCATGCATGTTAAAATAATGCAGAGCTGAAAACGTGCTAAGTGAGAACAAATGCTGCATCTTGGGATAAAACATAAAGAAAAAATATTTTGTTGCCTTAGGATGTGAAAAACCCCATAAAAGCCAAAATATGAGGGCACAAGAATGCAATAGTGCCATGGAAGAGTTCTCTGACACAGTAAGCACACAGGTATAATGGATCTAAAAAGTGAAGGATTAACTGAAGCGAACCCATTCTTTATTTTTAAATCTCCTCTTTTTAAAAAAACTCTCCCAGTCCTGACTGCTTGAGCCAGGCTGAGATAAGCTGCTCCAGTGATAAGCACAAGGAAAGAACTRTTAGTGAAGTCACATCAGGGCTTGGAGAAATTCAACCCCTGAACCTGTTCACACTCCTGTGGTTGGAAGCATCAACTCAGAGACCACGAGCAGAGTCCTCCCTGGAGCTGGGAGCAGCAGCTTTTTGATTCTTGAAACAAAATTCCTGGCTGTGACTCTGATCCCTCTCTGGACAATGCTCTCAGGCACTGGTTGGGATTGCTGGGGTGTCTGTGCAGGGACAGCAGTTGGATTTGATGATCCTTGCGGGTCACTTCCAACTCATGATTCTCTAACTGCTGACAACTCCTCCTCCAAGGAAGGTTTCAATAAAAAGGGAACAAACAACCCAAAACAGACTCTTTGTCAGTACTACTTGAAATAAGATGTCTGTCTTCCTAGAGATGGGAACTAGGGAGCTCCTGGAACCATCTCTTTTGGGAAGCCCAGTGAAAYATCTCTTCAAAGAACAGATTTGAGGCAGGAGCTGCAGACTGGAACAAGACAGCAACACGGCCCTTCAGAGGCTGCTCTGTCCCCATTCCTGGTGGGCAGGCCCAGCTGGGCCTCAGCAGTGGATTTCTATCCTCCAGGTCATCATCCAACACTTCCCTCAYTTGCCAAAATAACCATCAATTAAGAATCAATTGACAACTGTATCAAAAAGCTGTGGAGGAGGCCAAGAGGCCGAGGCAGCTGAGCAAGCAGGAAATTACTCACGACCTCAAATAGGGAATCTCAGCAAAAGGAAGTTCAGACAYTGGACCTGCAAAGATGCCAACAAAATGCAAATAGACAGGAATTAAAAAAGCCTTTACCCACTGGGGTCCCCAGAGAGAACAGGTTGGCATGACCATGCTACCACATGATATTTTCCYGAGGTGACAAAACCGTAACATCTCTGCTCTGCTAATGCTGGGATTGGCAGGATCTATAAATACCAGCACCTCGGACTCAGGGCTAGTTTTAAATCAATGCAGATGGGCAAGGCAGGAACTCAGAGCCAAATCCCATAAGCTGTTCCATACCAGCACAGCCGCTCATGGATGCAAATTCCCCACTGTCCAACAACAGCTGATTTTCTGTTTTGCCTGGAATTACATGTTTTTTAGCACAAAGACCAAACCACGCTGAGCCAGAAGACTCAGCCCATCAGTAAGTTCTTAAAACCAGAGCAGAGCCAGTCACCTTTATCAGGAATAAACAAAGATAATGTGGAACAGCAGGTCACTGGAGACTGTGCTGATAATCGGAGTCGTTCAGCTTGACTCATCTGTACAGCAGCTGACTCCACACCRGGCTGCTGCAGCTCATTTAAAACCAGAGCACTAATTGCCTGCGAGTTGGACACACTTCAGACCTTCATAAGGCCAGGCTGGATGGGGYTTGGAGCAACCTGGTCTAGTGGAAGGTGTCCCTGCCCATGRCAGGGGGTGGAATGGGATGGGCTTGAAGGTCCCTCCMAACCCAAACTGTTCTGGGAWTCTGTGACCCTCCCATGTAGAAACATATCTCATGTCTCAAGACTGCTAGCAGCTGATGACAAAGTAAAACTACTGTGGAATAAACCTGGAGAATTCAGTCTGGAGAAGTGGGGACTGAGGGGAGTCATCAGAGGCTGCAGCTCCTCCTGAGGGGCATTGGAGRGGCAGCTCCAATCTCTGCTCTCTGTGACAGGGACAGGACAGGGAACAGCTGGCGCTGTGTCAGGGGAGGGTCAGGCTGGAGGTCAGGAAAAAGCTCTTCCCCCTGGTATTGGGCACTGACCAGCTGCCCAGGGAATGAGCACAGCCCCAAGGCTGCCACAGCACCAGGGGCGTCTGGAGATATTCCCAGGGATGCACAGGGTGGGACAGGAGTARATCAATGCTCCTTGTATGCAGGTCCCTTCCACCCAGGATACTCAGAGAGTCTGTGATTACCTAGACAGGCAGCCACATARAGTGCTCCAACATGGAAATAAACAGGAAAAACAAAGGGAACACAAATGTACATAACTTGCATTCTGTGTGGTTTTGCTCCATAGGTACAATTCTTATTAGCATGTCTTAAATTACTCTTCTGCCCTACCTACCTGACATTTAAAGTAAATGATTGAATTTTAAAAAATAAAAAGGAACAAAGAAATCTCACACAAAGAAATCTCTCACACATTTTCACATCTTGCCTAAAAACTCGAGTGAAGTGGGAGTAAACATTCCCTAGATAAAAACCACCCAGTAGCCATTGGGCTGTTCCATCTTTATCACTCCCAAATGCCCAGGAGCAATAACAACATACTCAGTGGTCACAGCATTGGCATGTTTTCTGAAAATTACCACTGCTAACCTAAACAGCCACACTGAGAATGGAAAACAAAGCWGAAACACCAGAACAAGAAATACTCTGTCAAAATACTGGGCAAACAAACAAATCAGACTTCTCCAGGTTGTAAACTCTCATCAATTCAATTACCTGCCTGACCAGAGCAGCTGCACCACCCAGCTGAGACTGCAAACGATTTTGGGTTTCTGTCCTTAAGTGTTCAAAAAGCAGAAATGGGTAGGAAAAAAAMCCTTTACCTCCAACTGCTGGCATCTCCAATTTAATTTTGGTTCATTATGTGCCAGAGATAATTAAAATGAAGGTCGGAGTGCTTTRTGTCCTTCACAACCCTGGCTCTGTTCTGAACATGGCATTCAGACATCCAGCCAGCCCTGAAGTCGAGGAGCTCAGGTTAATAAACAATCATATGCAGCCTAAAGTCCAAATTCCAAACACAGCAAACCCTAAGCAATGAGGGGGAAAAAGCCTTCCTTCAACATCCTCAACACTCTGAGGATTCACAGAGAGAAGCTCAGCTGATCCCACCTGGCATCAACCTGTCTCACTGTAATGATTCATTCATAATCCTGGTCCTTACTGTAAATCATGAGAAACAGTTAAATAATGCTAGTTTAAAAGGCAAACTAAAAGCATTGGTTAGTGCTGATTAGTTTAAGACGGAGGAAAAAAAAATCTTAGATTTAATTATGATGAGCTTATACAGAAAGAAGAAATTTCTCATTAACATCAAAACTCACTTCAAGATGTTTTTTCTCTCATTTTTTACATTTTAAAGAAAAGCAAGTTTCAACGTGTTCACACACATTAAAAAAAGGTTTTAAGGCTTTTCTATCTGTCCCACAAAGAATGAAATGAAAAAACATTATACGTTAACCCAAACAACAGCAAAACCAGTCTGTCTGACACCAGACTTCACAATGGCACTGCTARTATTTCTCTTGGATACTGGGTGCASTCYTAAGCTAAACCTGARAYAGCMCACAGTTAAATTTCAGATTSTCTAGGAAGACCACAGAGCACCAAAATTTACTGAATGCAGAACTTTGCTCACTCAATTTACAGTCCCAGAATTATCCACAACAGCTGTGATGAAGCCCAACTTCCACCTRAAATTCTGAATAGCCTTTGGAAAGGGAAAGGCAGCAGGTCTAAAGATCTCTGGACACAAAGAGCTCTCCAGTCCACACCTCAGCTCCTACAAYGTTGCTAAAGTGGGGAACCACCTCCTGAGCCGGCTGCAGAGGAGTTTGAGCAACAATAATGGCAAAATCCCACGTCACCATTGCTCCAGAGGAGCCGGGAGAGGCCGGGACGTGCTTTCCATTCCTTCCAGGTGAGGTGCCAGCGCTGGTCCCAGGTATCAATGCTATAAACGCGACYGGGAAGTTTACAGCATTCTAACTGCAAAGTGCTACATCAGCGCCACACGTCATCGCCCAGAGCTCCCAGAAATTAAACCAAGGCCGTCTGGACCCTTTGGAAAAGAACTGGAACGACTTCAGTTCTGTGGCTTTCACACAGTCGCATCTCGGGGGGTGCAAGGCCAAGGGCCACCCCCACCCCCGGCCCTGCGGCGGGACTGACCTTCCTCAATGACACACATTCACAGGGTTTATACCTCAGCAAAAGCAGCCGCTCAGTGCATTTCACCGGCATTTAACAGCCACAACATTACACTTCCTAACCCATCCCCTTTCCTGCCTGACAGCAGGCCCAGACGCCGCGGCGAGGGGCGGGTTTCGCGCAGGCCGCCGCAGGCCGGGAATCCCTGACCCAGCCCGGCAGCGCCGGGCCCGGCGGCACGTCCGGCACGTCCCCCCTGCGGGCCCCGGGAGCGGGGCCGAGCCCGGCCCGGAGCGGGGCAGTGCCGGGGCGCGGGGGGCGCGGGTGAGGCGGCGGCGATGGCGCGGGGGGACCGGGGGGGACCCGCACCCCGCGCCCCCCGCCCCGCCGCGGCGCCGCCGCAGCCAATCAGCTGCCGCCTCACATCGCCGCGCACCGCTCTGCGCGTTGTAAGGCGCGGCGCCATTGGCCGCGGCGGGCCCCGGTGCGTGCCCTCGGATAACCCCCGGCCCCACAATAGCGCGGCGCGGCCGCTCCGCCGGTGCCACCGGGCGGCCCACGGGGGTCTCACCGGCAGCCCCSGGCCCCGCCGCGCCTCCGCTCCCTGCCCTCCCCTCCGCTCCGCACCCCGCGGCCCGCCGCGGCCTCGGCGGGGCGCAGCCCGCAGCCCTGCTGGGGTGGRTAACACACAAACGGGGCGAGGAGGGGGACGCGGCGCCCGGTGCGGCGGCGGAGGCGCGGGGGGAAGTTGTCAGAAAAGTCAGGAGTGAAACTTGTCTCACCAGGTCTTCGAAGCTCCGGCGGTGCTCCTTGCCCTGCCAGTCCAGGCGCCGCGGGATCAGCTGCGGGAGGGACACGGGGACGGGGGCGGCYGTCAGAACCCGAGCGACCCCTCCCCGGGGAACCCCCCCTCTCCCGGTACCCGCCCGTGCCCCCCGGGATGGAGCCCCCCGGCAGCCTCCCCCGGGCCCCGCCGTGGGGCAGCCGCGCTCCCGCCGGGTGTCCCGGGCGGAGATGGGCTGGGTTACACGGGGCAGGGCAAACGCCGACCCCGCCGTCCCGAGGGCTTCCCCCGTCCCGCCGGGGCAGGCGCCTCACCTGGTGCTCCTCCAGCTCCTCCACCAGTACCTGGGGACAGACGGACACACAGAAACACAGACACACACAAAGGACGTGAGTCCGGCGCCGGCAGCGCAGCGGCTCCGCCGCTCCGTCCCGTCCCGTCCAGTCCCATACCGTCCCGTCCCACCGCCGCCCGCCCGGCCCGGCCGGAGCGCCGGCTCCGCGCTCACCTGGGCGGATTTCTTGCAGGGTCCGGACTGCAGGAACCGTGCGATCAGGTAGTAGAGCTCTGCGGAGGGGCGGGGGAGAGCGGGTTAGACACGGTTAGAACGGGGGGGATGCGGAGCGCAGCCCCCGCCGCCAGCGATACCCACCGGCTTCCAGCTGGGTCGGGGCGGCCGCCGCCGCCATCCTCCTCGGGAGGGGGAGGGGAGGTGGCGGATGGCGCCCCGGGGAGACTCGGCTCCTAGTGCGGGCACAGCCCCATGCCGGAGCGGCGGTGCCGGTGCGGGGCGCGGGTCCCGGTGCGGGTGCGGGCGCGGGTCCCGCCCGGGCTCATCGCGGCTCCGCGGACCGAGCGCCGCCGGCACCGCCCGCACCGCCGCCGCCCGCCGCCGGGGGGCGCGCGCAGCAGCGCCGGGCCCGCGGGCGGGGGGGCAGGAAGGGCGGGGCGGTGACGCGCCGCGGGGGGGCGCCGCCACTTCCGGGCGGCGGCTGAGGGAGGAGGAGGAGGAGGAACGGGAGGAAGAGGAAAGGCAGGGTCGGGAGAGCCGGGATGTGCCTGAGGGGTCTGGCCGCCGTCACGGGGCAGCGCTGAGCCGGGCCGTGCCTCTGAGGGCTCGGTAGCCGTCACGGGGGAGCGCTAACGGCCTCTGTCCTCGCGACTTCGGCCCTCACGGCCCTCGACTCCAGCGCTCTCGGTCATTCCGGTCTGAGCCCTCACAGCTCCTTGCGGCTCCGGCCCGCATGGCCACAGTGTTCCCGGCCTCAGTGCTCGTGGTCTCTTGCCTGACAGCGTCTGGGAAATGGAGCCCCGTGTGTGCCCCACATTAAGCAGTTTTAAGGAGACTGAAGGGATKCAGGAGTCTTAAGCGTCCCTGGGTAGGGCACAGGACTGCGTGGGGGGGAAGTGATAGCCCTCCCTGGCTCTCTGTAAACAAGGCCTGACTGCAGGGAAAGGTCGCAGGTTCAGGTGGCTTTAGGAGTCAAATAAAAATGTTTCTCCCAGTGACCAGGAAATAAATGGGCGGATATCAGAAATAATGATGGATACATCACCTATTGTCCTCAAGGAGCAAAGGGTTCAGTATCAGTGGAAATAGTTTTAAAGGATACAAATGTTTCCTTGGGAAGCATCCTGTCAGCTCCCGAAATCAGTGTCACTTCAGTATTATTAACATGCTAAAACACATTAAGTGAATTTTACCTTATCAAGTACCTGACATTTGCTGTTAAAACTCCAGAGCCTTGGCAGTGTAAAAACCTCTGTCATCATGGAATAACAAAGGACAACTTCTCCTCATGCCTGGAATACCAAGAGCTGAATCACCGTGAGTCGATGCTCTGGAAATATTAAGAATAAATTCAGTTTGAGCATATATTTATAGCAGCTGCTCAGGACTGGGCTTGCTGTGAAGTGCTGGCTCTGTTTTTCTGCTCCTGGCAGCTCCACAGGATGCTTCCAGGCACCCAACCAAACTCTGGAGAAGGATTTGGGGATTTGGCTTTAATCTGCTGCACCTGTGTTCACTTATAATTTACCTGTATTCACCTGCCCCTTCATCCAGCTGTGGAAGTTGTTTTGTGCTAGGAGCTTGGATTAACTGGGTGATGTGTAGACCCTGTTTCTTCTTCATCCTCTAAAGTTCTTGAGCTGTSAGTGACAGTTCGTAGGATCATGGAATCTCAGAATGGTTTGGTGGAAGGACCTTAAAGCTGTTCCACCCCCTACCATGGGCAGGGACACTTTCCCCTATCCCAGGTTGCTCTAAGTCCCATCCTGCCTGGTCTTGAACACTTCCAGAGATCCAGAGGCAGCTACAGCTTCTCTGGGCATCACCACCCTCACAGGGAAGCATTTCTTCCCCCTTGTCCTGCTCCCAAGTCTCTTTCTGTCTTTCTTGTAGACTCCAAACAATTACTCTTGTAATCTTTTCAGGGCAGGTTCATTGCTCAGCTCATCAGTGAAAGAGAAATGAAGTGCCATCTCATCTAAGCTGCAAATTCCAGTGGCTTCCCAATAGTAACAGCTCTCCCACCTTCCCAGCAAGACCACAGAGCCTCCAGAGCTGCAGAGCTGAGCTTCCTGGGAGAGACACAGTGTGAAACTGCTGTTCTCAGAATAAATTCCCAGGCAGGAAAAGCTCACACTGATCCCACTCTCTGGAGAGGTAATGTTTCTCCCACCTGTCTTCAGAGCCAAGAACTGCAAGCTCATCTTTACATGCATGATGGGAAGGCAAAGGARAAAACACAGATGATGTTTTATAATATGCCCTGAAAGTACAAATCCATCTTCCTGAACTGAAGAGAATTCCATGTCAGGGGAAAAGCAGACCCATAAACACTGCCTGGCACCACGTCCAGGTGCATTCCAGTGTCAACAGCTCCTTAATATATCCATGCTCAGGTGAGACCCCTGGCAGAGCTGGGGTACAGGTGACACTGCAGCACCACCAGGCAGGACCATTCTGTTTGGGCCCATCTGGAGGCCATGGGGATTTCTGCAGTAGCTAAAATGACCTCTCAAAAGCCTGGGATGGAAAATGCTCCCAAAGTAAGCTTGTCCATGCCTTGCTTGTGTCCTTCCTGCGGCATTCCATCTGGGAGCCTGGCCACAATATCCGTGCTTAGTGCTCAGTCCATGACCTTGTGTCAGTACTTGGCCATGCTCCATGTTGCTCCTCATTGTGGCTTGGATGGATTCCTGCATCAGCAGGAGAGGAGAGTGTTAGGAATGCTTCAGGTGTGTCCTGTGTGTGCTGCAGAGCACAGGTGTGCAGGTGCCTGCACCAGGGGCAGGTGCAACCAGCATTCCTCATTCCCAAACAGCTCTTGGGGAACTTCCCTCAGCCTGGCTGTGGCTGGACTGTGCTGCTCTGCATCACTTCTGAGCCTCTTCCTGCCATTTCTGGCTCCCTGGCACCTCAGCTTCCTCTTCTTAACTCTCTCCCAGTTGCTATTTTACTCCCCAAGCCTGCTACCAGGGCTGTGATCGATACCTCTTCCCACCTCTCCCGCGYTTTCCCCGCCAGGAGTCATGTCTGGTGAGTAATGCCCATCCACTCTATCCCCAGGAGTTCCATTTCCACACCACATGYGGATCTTGCAGCTCCATGACTCATCTTTTTCCAGATCCTCTGCATCCAAGCAGCAGCATGCTGGAGGTGATAGTAAATCTCGGAGTGAATACAGGATTTTATGGATGTGCTGATTCATCTTTCCTCAGAGCAGAGCTCTGTTATGTAAATGCCAGCAGCAGCTGGTGGCAGGAGGAGGARGAGCAGACTAATGAGACACAGAAGGATTCAAGAGCAGAGATGCTTTAGGGAAGAAGCTGGATTGTWGCTGTTTCTTTCCATACTGCTCTTTAAATAAATAAAAACTAAAGTTTTTGAGGGATTTTAGGAGTAGGTAGTGATGACATGCAAATACCCATCACTTTTCCCCATTTGGTGGTTTAGGGAGTTTCACTCTCAATTGCAATTGAGAGTAAAACACAACCSCCTGTTTAATTTGACTACAAAATTAAATGAACATCCCCACAGTCAGCTTGTAACACCAGGTAAAGGTGTATCTCTCATATTTTATTTATAATTATTCTGTCCTCACGAGTCAAATYCTGCTTCAGCTGTGTGTGAAAACAGGATTGTGGGTTGGCACAGCCAGAAACTTACAGTTAAAAATCAAAAAAGGAAAGTTTAGAATGAAATTGAGCTGGTGTTGTGGGTTGTACCTGGATTGTACCTTTCCATTAAATGTAGATGGGGATATTCATGTCTGAATCCMGCTGGATTTAAACATTGGAACAACTTAAGCATTTTCAGCTTCTTTTTGGAGTGTTTTCCATGGCATTTCATAGAATGTCACCAGTTGGAAGCAACCCACAAGGATTTCTATGAACATCCTGTTCACCTTGGGCCTTTCATGTGGAGCTAAATGGTAAATAAATGTCGTAGTTAAATTAAATCCAAATTTTTGTTTAACTGATACAAAAGTATTGTTCAGAAGGAATTTAGAAGTTAGTGCCTTTTGCTACACAATTGTGTGTAAATAGGGATGTTGAAAAGTCAAAGCTTAGTTTAAGATGATCTTTAAACACAGAAACCTCAAATTTTGAATCATAGTTTATTTTAAAAAATAATTGAAGTGCAAAATAATGAGCACTAATTACATTTGCTTGAGTGCAGGGCTCATGTGTACAAACCAATATCTTGGTTTTTCCAGGACAAATCTCCAAGTTCTCACTCCTTCCTGTGGTTTTCTCCTTCAATAAGAGCTGTTAAATAATAACTAAATAGCWGTTAGATATTACACAAGATCTGGTYTAGGATTTTTGCTATTTTTAATAATTTAATATTTAATTTCCCTGCTGCATCATTACCATGATTCCTCTAGATGGTGCCAGACATCCAAGAGTTGGGAGTAACATTATCCCATAGGAAAGACGATGGAGGAGCAGCCAGGACGCCGCTCGCCTTTGTTTCTAAATTCTATCTTGTAATAGTTCATCTTGTTGATAAAATACTTGTTCTGGGTGATGTAAATATGATGTTTTCTCTGTCTGAGAATCCTAAAATCCATTCAGCAGAGCCTAAATTCCACCTKCCTGGAGCAATGTCATCCCTTGCTCCGTGGACTGATCCATATCTYATATTCCTTATGGCAGCCATTAGCTGATGTGAGCTGTGATCAGTRTGTGCAGCCCTGCTGCAGCTGGGGGAGCTTAATGTGCCTGGTTTGCAAAGAAATTAATTTTCTGGCTATTATCTAAATGTTTCTCCTTATCTCTATTTTATACAGAAATGCCAAATCCAGCTGTGGATGATACACCCAGGAAAAGGGGCAGCTCTGTGTCCCTGTGTGCTCTGGGCTCTGCCAGCAGAAGGATCAGGGSAATGATGTCACTGTCAGGTCCTGATTTCCAGCTTTGTACCTCAGAGTGCCTGGAATCCCCCAAGTTTTATTGCAGCAAAATTACTACTGGGTGTAAATGACAAGGTAGGCTTTGTTATTGTTGGTGTTACTACTGCACTCAGCACCATCCCTGATTAAGGAACTCCTGTCCCCTGTTTGGGATCAAGCCCCCTGTTCCCAGCCTTTTCCAGCTTCTCCTGAGATGCCCTTGGCTGCTGCCAGTCCAAAGGTCCCTTGCACAAGGATTTCACCCTGTGCCGTCTATAGGATCTCAGTCTCTTCATTTTTTTCCTCCTCTCTTTGCTCCTTCCTCCTGTTTGGTGACTGTTGTTGTTACAGGTAACGCCTTTCAGACCTTGATTTTCTTCCAAACTCATTTTCCCATCTTGACTTTGCTGCGGCCTATGGACTCTGCCAGCCCTTGTATTTGGGGATTTTATCCTTGCTGACTCCAGGATGCCTCTGAAAGGGCGGAGGAACATTTTCATGGGAGAAACTGCATCTTGAAATGGGGCATGGAAAAATCCCGTTGAGAGTGACACTGACCTCTTGGTGCAGGATTCAAGCAGACATTGGAGAAATCCTGGTTGCTGAGCACCGAGGGAGGGATTTAAGGAGRCCAGAGTCTCATGAGATGCATCAGGACTCTGTAAAAATTAATTTTGTCTTTCTTGAACATGTGGAAAACAAGCCAAGCTGCAGCACTCCCTCCCTTTCAGAAGAAGGCAGCAGGACAAAATCTGTTGTTGGAATTTCCCTCCCACAGCACTTCCATCCCTCTCACCCAAGGACAGCCAGAGTGAGCCCATGACCATGTTTAGGGGGGACTCATCCCAGGGGATCTGGGTGTCCCTGAGCTGGGGACTCTGCTTTGTTCCCTGCAGCCCCACCCACCCCCTCAGCCAAAATTGACATTTTCCACCAACTGCTGAAGTCTCCTGCTCTTACTTTAACGTTAATTTTGGTAGTTTTCAGCTGGACTCTGAGCTACCTCATCCAGGAATCCGCGTGGCAGCCCYGAGGTCCAGCCCCATCTGGGTGACAGAATTTGTTTCCTTTGGCAATATGGATTTAACAACCAGGCTTCCAGCCCTGGGAATCATTTCCCTCAAATAACTGCAAAATAAATGATGGGACATTTTCCAGTGCAGTGCTGCTGCAGCCACCCAAAACACCACTGTAAAATTCACAGAGGCCACGCAGAGTGARTGCATTAAGCAAGGCTTAGGGGGATTATGGAATTAAATTGGGAGTCCCTTCCACCCTTCCCCCAGTCAAAGACATTCAGAAATAAAAGGAAAAATGGGTGTTAAAACAATGGCTTTGGTAAAACCTCTGCAAGCAAAGAAGCTCATTGTGGAGGCTGTTGCTGTGCTGTGGACTGGTGTGTTCAGGCTCTGTTCCAGAGGGTTTCCATCAGGGAGCTGAGGGTAATTTCAGGAACACCCAATGGCCGCGGCTGGAAYGCTTCCGGAATGGCTCTGCTTCCTGAATTCCCCCTGCAGAGGAGAGGTGCACCAGCACCACGTACAGCACAGGGCATTGCCTCTGTGCCTCCAGATCCTGCTGCTGGCTYTGGCATTCCCTTTCCTCTGCCTGCTATTCCCAGCTCCATCCTTTTCCCGGCATCAGGAACATCCCGCTCCTTTCAGGGAGAGTTTGTGCAATGAAAGCTTTGCTTTAATCTGGGCTGGATTTAGCCAGATGCTGCAATCCTGGGAAGGCTTACACAGGGCTCAGGTCTGCTACGGGAATGTAGCCTTGATTTGATAATCTGGGAATGGTTTATTTAAAATTAAAAACATACACAACCTTTAAATCAGGGGGTTTTTGAGCTTCTTTTGGCCTTTCAGTGGAACAGGCACCCAGGCTCTTTGTCACATATAGGGCCTGGCACCCATAAAATAGGTTTTAGGCTAGTGAGGCACATTCTGACTGCTTTAATTAAATTAATTAGACTMAAAAAAAGCATTTCCCATTAAAAGTCTTTAGCATTATAATAATAAAATTAATTTAAATATTTAATACAAAAATACATAAAATTAAGTAATAATTTCCAATATGCTTACAGAGCCCATTTGACCCAAATGACCCCACAAATATTCTCTTACCAGGGAAGCCCTTTTCTTTGCATCTTTATTAACATCATTACAAACCTTGGTATTTAAAATCTTTATTTTAGTGCAATTCTCTTGGTAATAAAATCAATTCATGAGACACCTGTGTAGCAACAAATAGGATTTACAGAGATTTTAAGCTTTTGGGGGCAAACATGGTTTAATCCTGYCCGCGTCAGGGCCTGGGGTAGATGAGCACAATGACACTAGAGGCAGCTGAGTGTGTTAATTAGTGCTAATTAATAAAGCTACCGGGTTATCTTTGACCTTCTCACTGCCCACTACAAGGTCTGAGGAGAAAGGATAAGGAGTGAGCAAGAGGAATATCCTTTTGATCGGAGTTTTTCCGTGCCTGCCTCCCCTCTCTGACTCCCCCATGTCCCCCCATGCCTTAGCAGGGAGCAGTGACACCTCATCCTGCAGACTGGAATCCCAAGGAATCCTGCAGCTCTGTGGGAAGCTGCTGTCCAGGAAGGGGCTGGGGATGCTGACTGCTTGTGACAAGTCTTGCCTGGGAGAAAACGAACACGGCAGCGGTTGGAAACCTGAATGATGTCACTATGGCAACAAAATAACTCACCTTAAAATAAAATGTGCATTGGAAGCAACCTCACGTGCTCAGGGAATAGAGGGAGGAAGCTCCTGGGGTTTTTTATATGTATGTATTTTTATGTTTATGTATTTTAAWTTTTTTTTTCCATCAGCTTCCTGAATTCTTGCCGCGTTACCAGATRCTGATGCAGATATAAAAAATACTTTAATTTCTCTCAGCAATGAAATGAAACAGAACATGACTAGCCCTCCAGAAGAAGGGRAAATGTGTTTGCTGGAGGGCAGGAAAACCCTGGAGCTGCTGATAAATACAAGTCATTTTGATGGGTGTGAGATCCAGACTATCAATATCTGTAGCTCATGGCAGCAATTTGGGACTCATTATTGCTAATATTTTTCAGGGACATAGCCCGTCTCTTTTCAACAATCCCAAACTCCATTTCTGTGTTTGTTCTTTCCAGACAGGTTTGCTTTCCMATTTTTTCTGCATTAAATAACAGCAACAGGTGGAAATCTAGAGATTTCTCTGGAAATTCCAAACTCTCCCCAGTTCTTTTCATCCCATGAGCATCCCAACTCAGTTGGGAATACAGACATTCAGCTACAGCACTGCTGGTGAGATGTTCCCAAGTTTTCTCATAATCCTGGATGCTTTTTAGACTGGAGTGACTTTGACCAGCTCTGTATCAGGGAAGCCAGGATGGGAAGTGCAGTGGTGTGGGTGAGGCTGTGTGCAGTGCCAAACTGCAGTAGCCCTGGCAGCAAAGAGGAGTTGTCCTGTCGRGCTCTTCTCCTGCTTGCCAAAGGCAAAGAGCATTTATGGGATGAAACATAAGGCYGTGGAAAGCCCAGCACCCTTGATTTGGTCCTGCAGCGACCCTTGACTAATCCAGGGTAAAAATAGAAACACAAATTGTCCTGTGTTTCACTGGGAAGCAGAAATCCTGCGACACTCGGGTTTGAATCATCCAGATAATACACTGCAAGAGGGGCATGTTGCTCTGGAAATCCCACTGGTCCCCAGGGACTGTGGTTCAGGTGGAGAGATGCTCCCAGTGCTCCCAGGCCAGAGCTGGAGTTATTTGAAACCAAGCAGAGGCAGCCGGCGTTGTGCTCTCCCACTGTTGGTGTGTGTGCTGGGGACACAGCATCTGCCTGGGAATGGGGAAAGAAGTGCCAAAGGCTCCCAGGTTTTCCCATGTTTTTTGCCAAGTTCAGCCTGTTCATGGAAGCCGTGAAAAGCCAAACACATCCCGGAAGATATTACCAGAACCTGCAGCTACATAAGCAACTCTGGACTTCCAGTTCTTGCARTGCAAAAMYAAATACATTTACAGAATAACTATATTTTATATAATACTTATATAATTTATAATTCTATACAAGAATTATACAATTTAATTMTTTCCCTCCCTATATCCCACTTTCTGAGAGCTTTGCACTCAGTTCCGTAGCAGTGAAAATAATTTACTTCCAACTGCTTGTTTTATAGGAAACCAGAGAAAGTGGATTAGAAGGGATGAGGTTATGGAGCATGAACAAATACTTCAAAACAACTGTGGAGGAGGGAAGAGAAGGTTCTGCTCTGACCCTGGGTGAGTTCAAGTGGGTACTTTGGATATTTGGGTGCCAAATAATGCTAATTGAGAGTGTCACATTTTGACATCATCAGCACAGCATCCAGACRCTGCCTCTCTCCTTCCCATCGGAATTTCCTTGCAATCCCACATTCTCTTCATCCTGCGGTCATTGGGAGAGCAAGCAATAGCTGTCGTGGTTCCCTGCTCCCTSGCAGCGCAGGAGGGATGAGCAGAGATTGAAATAATTTCCTACCATTGATGTGAGGACGACTCCAACACCCACTCTGGCTCCGTCCACATCACTCCTGCACCCCATCCCTGCAAGGAAAAGTAATCACTTGCCTGGCTCCGGGTTTAATTAGTCTCTGCTTCGGGGCTAATTAGAAGCGCGGTCCGCGCGGAGGTCGGGGCCGGAGCCCTCCCTCCCTCTCTCTCCCGCTCCCGCCGCCGCTCCCGCTCCCATTCCCGCTCCCGCTCCGCTCCGTGCCATCTGCCATTGCCATGACACTGGCTTTGCTTTTCACGCCTGGTTGGGCGCGCTGGATGCGCGGGGTAGTGGGGCTATCCCCCCCCACCCCGCCCCCCCACTTTGGTCTTTGGAAAGGAAATAATAATAATAATAAACCCAGGAATGGCTGGAACTGCTGCACACTGCCCTTTTCCTTCCCACTTTTGAAGCTTTTTTAACATTCAGTTTTTCAGCAATTGGAAGGGAAATTACCCTGGAAGAAAGAAACAAAAATCTCTGTTATTTTTTAAACACCCCCCGCGCCACACAGGCAGCTGCAGAGAATTTCTCTTCCAAAGGGATGATGTAATGGGCTTTGTCAGCCAATGCTGGAATGAATAAAACCTGAGACCCGAAATCCATCCAGGCTTTTGATGAAACTCCTGAGGTTCCTGGAGCAAGTGGTCGCCAAAACGGGCTGGAACCGCTGGTTTTGTCATGCAGATCTTGAGAGAAGTGAGATGGAGAGTCAAGGACTCCAACCAGGGAATAACCAAAACCACCAGATTTTGTTCCAGCCTGTTCTCATAGGACACAAATCACTATTCCTGTCACCTCAAATTTCTGCAGTGAAGAGGCTGTGGGGCAGGCAGGGAGAGCATCTGGCACTCCAGGGGGTTCCAGGTATCATAGGGACATTGCACTTCCAAGTGATGGGGGAGAATCATGGATATGTTTTGCCTTGGCTGCTCTGTGGTCCCTGCTGGCCTTGTGCAGCCTTGCTGGGTGTTCCTGCAGCAGGAGCTGTGACAGAGCTGCTGCCACTGTCCCCCAGCCCTGAGGAGCCACTGCCACCATGCTACATCCAGGGATACCATGGGAACTGCTCCTGATCCCAGTGCCATCCCCCAGGCAGCTGGATAATCCCAAATTCCCAGCCAGGACCACCACCTAGAGGCTACAGCACCCAGTGAAGCTGGGAAGATTTATAGCTTAAGATGGGAAATAATTCCTGAGCCCAAATGGAGCAACACTGAGAACTGGGAGTCTGCAGCCCTTCTCTAGCTCAGTGGTGGCCATCATCTTACCTTCAGCACCAGCAGCACCCAGTAAACCTGGGCCCTAGGGTGGCATTTGGGGAGAAAATATTGCCAAGAGCAGGAGAATGTGTGCCCTTTTCCTCCTGGGAAAAATTCGGCTCCAATAGAGAATATTCCCAGGAGCACACCTGCACAGGGGAACAGCCCAGGTTGGCAGCACAGGGTTTGGCTGGGACACACGTGGTACCTCAGGTACATCCACATCGTGTGTCTGTCCCCACCAACAGCCACATCCAGTGAACAGCAGGGAAGTTTTCCTCCTTTCAAACTCCAGGTCCTCTCTCACCAGTTTGGCTTGCTGGTTCTGCACTGGTGACAGTGTCTTTGTGTCCCACAGCCCCTCCAGATCATCTTCCAAGAATTTGTGTAATCACTTTCTAAGCCATTATGACTCCTGGGCTCCATTTGGGCAATGAGTTACACGGTTTAATTACTCATTGTGTGAAATATGTTCGTTTTGCATCTGCCACTCGGTAATTTCATTTGGGGCCTCTTTGTTTGCTTTGTGTCCCCACACAAGAGCCAYCGACCCCTATTCACCATCCCTGTGCTGCTGCACCAGGGAATACAAATCCCGCCTCCTTTTCCCCCGTCTGTCAATTCTTTGCAAGACAAAAAGGGTAATTTATTTAATTGTTGCTGATACAATGTTCTAAAAGTCTCCTTTCCCCTCCAACAGTTAATTACATTTGTTAATTATTTTAATTATTCCCAGGGTAATGCTGTAGGTATAGAGGAGCCCACTGCGTTATACACATAGGAGTAAACATGGAGCAGGGAAATCGGGTTTACTCCAAGATCTCTGTTGATAACCAAGCTGTAATCTCGTGGGTGGTGAAACCAGAGCAGGGAATGTTTGGCCTGGATTTGGAACTTTCTATTGGCATCATGGAAGGATTTATAGGAGAGCAAGGCAGACCCTGCARGATTTCCCTCCGGTGAGGCCTGGAGAGGCAACTCTGGTCTTTCCCTCCTGCCAGAGATGGCACAAAATGGAACCATGACCTGGAGAAAGATTTCTGGTCAGCCCCTCTGTGACAGAGGATTTGCATGAAGGAAGGAACCAAACCTAGCCAGCTTCCAGCCTTCTGGAAAGCTGAGGCTCAGCCTGAGGCTTAGGGACAGCCCACCTCCAACTYCAGCCGAGGGGAGCGGCAGCCCTGGATCCATGAAACAGCACAGCTCGTTTGTGCTCCTGCAGAGCAGCCTCTGCCAGCGCCCTCGGAGCCAGGGTGAAACCCGAGAGCTGCCGCAATCCAAACCTTCTCCACAGCTCCTTTTATCTTCCGGGGTGGGGGTGGAACAAACAGCGCATAAGTCGGAGCTTTGTGGCTGGGATGTCGCACATCTGGTTTGAGCTCCAAGAAATGCACTTCCACCCCCCTCCCCGAATTGTTCATGTTAAACAAACAAACCCCCGGCGATTTCGCGAGGTTTCGGCTCTGGGATAACTTTGGAGGAGCTTTGACTGAGAACTCCAGGCTTGTGTGGCACTTCATCCCCCCTGGAAGCAGAGCACCTCGCTCACAGGAGGGAGGCACTTCCAAAGGGGAACAGCCGTGCCCTGGAACCCCCTTACTGGGAATGCTGCTGAGACTGGGAGCGGGGAGTGGTCTTGACACTCTGTGTTTATGGCTYAATCCAGCATTTTTCCCTGTGTTATTTATGCTTCCTCCCCTCCCTCCCCCGCTTTTTAAGAACGTCTGGAATTGTTTAAGATGTGTCCAATTGTATTAAGTTGCTTTTGAGAACTTTTTGGTGTCAATTGGATTCCCASTCTTAGGAACGGAGCTTTCTAATTTGCCTTTTTCCCCTTTTCTATCACATCAGCACCAACTTCCTTTCRGTGCTTTCAGGTGTTAGATCAGCCTGAAGTTCATCCTAATCCCTGGAAATCACTTCCAGATTTCCATTTGACACAGTTGCAGTGATTCCCTGGTTGATGCTGCAGGAGGAAGGGAGTGTCATTCCTCTGGGATCCTCTCCCTCTGGCCCATCCCTGTCGTGCTCCAGCAGAGGTGGATAAATCAGGGCAGACCATGGAATCACAGRGTGGTTTGGGTTGKAAGGGACTTTAGAGMCCATCTCATTCTATCCCCCTGCCAAGSCAAGGACACCTTCCATGAGACAAGATTGYTCYAAGCCCTGTCCAGCCTGGCCTTGGGCACTTCCAGGGATGAGGCAGCTACAGCTTCTCTGGGAACAGATGAAAGGTGTGGAAGGGTGAACGGGGTTGGGAGCAGCTCTGATCCTCTCCCCATCCCCTCCTTGACTCACCCAAGCCCAATCTCAATCCCTCTGCTTTCAAAGCAGGGGACAGTGGCCACATGAGACGCCAGTGACATCTGTCCCTATGTCCATGCTCACTTGTGACCAGCTCCAGCTGCTCCAGGCACTGGGACAGTCTCTGGAAGTCMCRTTGACATTGTTCCCTCCAAGGACASAGGCTCCTCGAAAGCTGCCCAGTGCCGGGCCCAGGGTGTTCCCGGCTCCTGGAACCCATCCAGGGCATCAGGTTTCAGAGCGGGGGCTCCCGACAGCTGCACGGGGAAGGAGCAGCACTACTGGGACAGTCAGAAGGAGGAGCCATCATTTCCTTTCCAGGGATTCAATTTGCTTTCTCCTTCATCAGATTAACACCAGTGTAACTCCATTAACTGCCAGAGATCTGCTCTTGATCTGAAAATCAGGCCTGTCGGAGTGTCACAGAATCCCAGACTGATTTGTGTTGGAAGAGACCCCAAATATCCTCTTGTTCCACCCMCTGCCATGGGCAGGGACACCTTCCATGATCCCAGGGTGCTSCRAGCCCTGTCCAGCCTGGTCTTAGACACTGCCAGGGATCCAGGGGCAGCCACAGCTTCTCTGGGCASCCTGTGCCAGGGCCTCSCCAYCCTCACAGGGAGGAATTCCTTCCCAATATCCAAGCTAAATCTACCCTCCTTCATCTTAAAGCCATTCCCCCTTGTCCTGTCCCTCCATCCCTTGTCCAAAATYCCTCTCCAGCTCTCCTGGAGCCCCTYCAGGCACTGGAAGGGGCTYYAAGCTCTCCCCAGAGCTTTTCTTCCCCTGGTGAACAGCCCCAGCTCTCCCAGCCTGGCTCCAGAGCAGAACGGTTTTCTCATTTTTGTGTACAGTCATTTCACTCAAAGGAGCAAAACTGGATGTGGGATCAACCTGCAAAACCCTTCCTTTTATGTGCTTGGAGAAGTTGTTTTATTKTAGTTTCCCCCATCTCCCCCTTTTTTACATCCCAAGGACCACACTGTGATTTCCATTCTCTGCTTGCTGAGGCAGCTGTGCCTTTTCCCTCCCGATCCTCCAGTGCTGCTCCAGCAGATTTCTGATGGTGGAGACCAGGATGAAGTCTGGAGGTGCCTCCTCTGGTCTCCCCCTCCTTCCCAGGATAGTGACCAGTGTTTTCTAAGTGGTTTTCAGTGGTTTCATTGTTCTGAGCAAACAAAAGCAAATRCTTGCCCAGTTCTGTGGAGGATCCCATGAGGACGTTGTGTGAGGATACTGTGTTTCTCTGGGAGCCTGCACCAAAAGCTGTATCATG